TGTTCACAGGCCCGTTCGCTCCTCGCCGGCGGTCCGAGAGCTGCCAGCAGGAGCCGGGGAGCTCTGCCCTGCCCGTGCTTGACTGAAGCTGTGTCGGGAGTTATGTCCTGCCTGGTAGAAGGGATTGCTCTTCCATAACGCTACCTCTATTTTTTTATAGGTGCTTAAAGATGAATTCTAAGACCGCTAAAGATATAATTATTGGTAAGTGGGGCTTAAAGCCGGGTAGCTCCAGATCCGAGAGTGATCTCGAGAAGTATAAGCAGGAGAACGCTGCCCTGAGAAAATCGATGGAGGAAGTCGTTAAAGGGAAAAACAAAATGACTGATCCGGAAAGGAACGGACTACTAGAGGTGAGGTGAATGTTTTTACTCGAGCTAATGTTTGTGACGTCCTAATTGTACACGGTTAACACGACTCTGAGTATGTCTGACTTTGTAAGCCAGATGCTAATCTTTCCTCTTAAAATTTAGTTTACTTTGTTACTACTATGTCACTAGTCTGGCATTTTTTTCTCAAACGTTTTTCAATGATGACTGAACTAATAAATTACAACCATCTGACAAGGCTGTTAAATACAAAGACCTGAGGCCAGAGATGCCAGTTAGTCTGTTAAGACCTGTCCTCACATGTCCAACTGTTTGGAACAGTTGGTCCCAGGGAATTATTTTGAATGATGCCTGTGAAGAACATTGTTTACAAACAATTGCCAAAGAACATGTGAAGAAGTGCTATTTGCTTGAACTATATTCTCAAGCTCCCACTCAGCTATAGGTAAATAAACCCATAATCAGTTCACCACATTATTCTTCTATTACAACCAAAGAGCAGAAACCAAAGCACTGCAATTTCCATGCCTTGTAGTCCAGTCAAGGTAAACTTGTGGTTGCAGAAGAAGTTCAAGCCATAGTATGTGATCAAGTCACCTACTGTCAGGCTTCCCAGGACTGGGAAACCTTACATGGACTGTTTCAAAGGATACAGCTAATGGAGACTAGTCACACTAATATTTCTAGGCTCCTTTATTTGACAATAAGGCTTTTCAGTACAGTGTCAGTACAGAAGTGTTAACCCAAGTACCAGCTATAGCTAGGCAGCTCTTGTACTGTTGTGGCTAAATTCCTTAGTGTATTTGCTGTGTCTAGTGGAGTTTGCTGCTTGCTCAGTGTTGGCTACTTGATATTGGGTTCCTAGTTTACAGGTGGAAAATCACAGGCATGTTTAGATATACTAGGTACTATCTGCTGTCAGTATTTCTAGTGAGCACTGTGTGGTCTTCAACCACTCTCTAAATGAGGCTCTCTAACATTCAATTTCTGTCATTTTCTAATGACTTGATGTCAACTTGTAGGATTTCAACATCAACCTTTCTCACTTCATTCAAATGAAATGTTATCATAACAGAAATTTACATAGACCCTCAAGGTATCTCAGATGCAGTACTAATGCTGTGTAATAATTACCTGTGCCAGAGGCCTACTGAAAAGGGAGTGCCTGTTGAAAATACCTACTAAAACACATTTTGAAACTAAAAGGCCAGATAATTTAGAAAACAGGATTCTTCACCCGAATGCTTTATTATAACTCTTTTGTAACTTGATGTCATTTAGTTGCAAGAAGGCTCTTCTGCTTCTCAAAAGCTACTAAATGTGCTAACCAACTCTAAGAAATATACTGCCAACGTCTTCACTGGAAGAGTTTTAGAGTTCTTGTACTGCTTGTATTTTTAAGGTTCATATCCTGTAGTGATCTGTATTCACATACAAAACTGAGCACCTACCAACTCTGTGAAATTTGGATCTTTGCACTCTTTCCTTGTTTCATCTGCTTCAGACGTTTTATTATCACTTGAAATATTTCAGATGATCGCTGTAGTATTGTCTTCTGAGTAAACAGTAATATTCTCAGCTAATTAAAGGCTAAGAGAGAACCTTTCAAAGTGAGTATCTTCTCAAACCGTTGTAAACTTGCTAACACATTTGTTGCATAGACTGATGCTTATTCATTTGTGTCACTTTTTTATTCTGTTTCATTTAGAAAATACTCTCTCTTGAAAAAGAAAAAGAAAAACACAACCATCTTATTGGAGAGAAGGACAAAGAAATCCAAAACCTGAAAGAGAAGCTTAGGTCCAAAAACAAGAATAGTGAAGTCTCCTTACTACAAACTGAACTAGAGGAAAAAAAGAAGGAAGCAGAAAGGAGAGAACGGTTGCTTTGTCCTCTATCAGAAGTAATGAACCAATTAAAATGTAATTCATCCACTGTTACTGCAAAATGTTATGAGATTGAAAACAGAGCCAGCACTTCTCAGGTATCCCAGGTAAGCACTGAAGAAACACTGTAATTGCAAATTCCAGGTCTAACCCACTGAGCACCAATATCTGTTATAAATAGGATGGATTTTTAATTTTCTAACAAGTTGCATCGTGTGCTGAAATATTCTTGTATGAAGAGATGCTATCCAGATTGAATGCTAAATGAAGAACTGTCAGGGAGCACAACTACAGGCAACACAGCTGGGGAGAGAATTCTCTAATGCTGTGTGTAAGGTCCCTTTTTCAAGCTCACATGCAGGTGGTATAACTAATGGTACTGCATGTAATGATCTGCTGTTGCTTAAGCAGATATTATGCCCTTCTTGGGTTTGTGTACTCAGTGATTAAACAGACTGAGAAGGCACCAGTGAAAGACACACAGCACATCAAAAAAGACAAACTAAGCTCCTCATCTAATTCACCTTTAGTCATGGGAATATCTTTGTGCTCCCTTGCCTTAGGAATCCTCATTTGCTCCTAGGTTGTTGAAACTAGTTGCCTGTACTTTACATGGTATCAGACACTGTAAATACAGTAAATGTGACAGAAGACAGGACAGCAATAATAAGTTGCTTCTCATTTAAAGTGGCTAATAGTTATGGTTGACAGGTACGTGGCAGCTTTTACAAGTGCATTTAGTGTTCTACAGTTGTTTTTCCGCCCCTGCCTAACGTTCTATGAAAATTCACTAGTATCTCAACAATGGGTACAGGAAAGTTGTTGGCTAAAAGTAGGTGCCTGTAAATCTTTTCCAGCTTTTGACCTGCAGATGGTGCTGGTTCCCCACATTCTACACAGAAATTTAGTAATTTCTAGAAATTCAGTTTTATAGCAAAAAATCTACTAATTTTCAATGATCATACATTTAGCTTCTAATAATGCAGTATCTTTGGAAATACCACTTTAAATGCAACGTGTTTATTTTCAATTTCAAGAGACTTTGAGTTTTGTTAGAGAATTTAAAATGTATGTTAAAGATTTCCATGATATTTTTGTCAGTTAACCACCAAAGTATCTTCTAGTTTAAAACAAGAATTTTCTTTTAAATTTTTTACTGATTTATCAGCAGATGACAACAAAATGTGACTGAAACTGGACTGGATGTCTTGGAAAACTTGAAAGCAAGTCTAGCAATGCTGCTTGAAACTGCTAGGTGGCATATGAGCAGCAGGTATACTCTGAAATGAAAACAACAGTTGTAGAACAATTTTGAGAAAGTTTTCACTGAGGTGGAGTTCTAAAGTACTATAGCAATAGGAACCTTGAGCAATTATAGTGTTTCTAAATGTGCCCAGGTGACAAAGGTGGCCAATGGCATCCTGGCTTGCATCAGAAATAGTGTGGCCAGCAGGGACAGGGAAGGGATCTTGCCCCTGTACTCAGCACTGGTGAGGCTGCACCTTGATTCCTGTGTTCAGTTTTGGGCCCCTACTACAAAAAGAACATTGATTTACTCAAGCGTGTCCAGAGAAGGGCAACGAAGCTGATGCAGGGTCTGGAGCACAGGTTGTATGAGGAGCAGCTGAGGGAACTGGGGGTGTTTAGTCTGAGAAGAGGAGGCTGAGGGGAGACCTCATCGCCCTCTACAGCTACCTGAAAGGAGGTTGCAGAGAGCTGGGGGTGAGTCTTGTTAACAAAGTAACAAGTGATAGGACAAGAGAGAATGAACTCAAGTTGGGCCAGGAAAGGTTTAGGCTGGAGATTGCGAAGAATTTCTTTATCGAATGGGTTGTTAGGCATTGAAATGGGCTGCCCAGGGAGGTGGAGTCCCCATCCCTGGAGGTGTTTAAGAGTCAGGTTGTCATAGTGCTTAAGGATATGGTGTAGTTGAGAATAGTCAATGTTCGGTTACTATTTGGACTAGATGATCTTCAAGGTCTTTTCCAACCTAGATGATTCTGTGATTCTGTAAATCCTATTTCTATTAGGAAGTGCTAAAGTTTAATAATTTCACAGTTCTGTATTTTATCAGTTATAAAGCTTGTAAATCATGTTCCAAAAATCATTGCAAAACTGTATTTGGCTAGTAATCTACATTTTTTTTTCTGCTTAAATTTCCCTCCGACTTTTATTTACACAAATTCAAAAAAATTTTTTCTATAATGCAGCGACTTTTTAACTGCTTTCTAGTTCCTAGATGTGTCTAAAGAACTCTCCAATTCATACTTTAAGCATTTACTGTGGATTGGGTCTCAGAAAATCAGGCAGTATGTCTTTATGGTTCCAGACAGGCTGGCATGGTTTCCCAGATGTTTATAATCCTCCTGTTACCCCAGTGAAGTTGACAAGGTATCTAGCTTTCCCCAACAACTCCTATAGCTCTGGCTTATTATCAAACTGGTATGAGGGTACGCAAATAGAACAAACACCTTTTTTTGTGTATTTAAGTAATGCCCTAAATAGCTTCATTTTTTAGAAGCTCTTCTGTACTCTTCAGGTCTTCCAAGATAGCAGTTCAGCAGAAGAACACATGGTAGTCTTCTTAAGAAGTGTTTTAATTTAACTAAGAGTTGCAGAGTTATGGAATAAATGAAATTTAAATCTCTGTCCTGTATCTTGCAGGAGATTTTATTTTAAACCTATGAAATGGTTTTCTATGTAATTAGGTTATTTTTTTTTTTAAGAAAAGACTGTAAAGATCTTTAAACACAAGGCACATGTATGCATCTGTTTTCCATTAAAAAATACTCTTATGCTATTTATGTGAGATTAATAGTTATACCGGACTAGCTTTACTGTTTCAGCCATCTGTTTTAAAGAACACTTAACAGGTTGTTCTTTGTCTGCAGGAAGCTGTAACAAACAGCACTGGCTCACCAACTAATCTTTATGAAGTTGAAAAACAACTCAAAGATGTAAGTTTCCTGTACAACGCTGCAAGTACAAATCATCTGTATCAAGATGCATAAAAATGTAAATAATCACCATATGTGTTTTTTGGTAGTATGGGACCTCAGATGTTATGTTTCCCTCTAAAATATAGTATCTAAAAGTATTTTGTGACAAGATAATTTAATTTAAATAAAAAGACTTGGGGGGAAAAAAGGACAGTATTTCCAGTATCTTTGGAAAAACCTTGCTTGGAACATCAGAAAAAAGTGGTTGCTGACAAAGCAGGAGCCCCAAGGAACCTGATCTGACCTCAGAGCTGACACTGCCTGGGACAGAATGAGGTTGGATTAAGAACCTCCTGAGGTCCCTTCCAACATGAATAATTCTGTGATCCAGTTGGATATAAAATCCATGTCCTTGTTCTTCCAAACTTTAAGTTTTAATGATACAGTTTTAGTCTATTAAATTTTCAAGATTTATTTTATGTTTTACTTTACATTTGAGATTGAAAGGTTAATTCTTCATATTCTGAGCATGACTCATGAAAGCCTTTTAAGCTATTTTCCCATTCCAAGTAGTAAATCAATCAGTATTTAATGTTGCTGCAATTTTAAGTTATGCTCAACCAGCTGACTTACCTTTCCAAATAAATATGGGTTTTATTTATTGTACAGAGATTACTGTGATTTGCAGCAGAATTAACTACCTTATCTTTAAACTGTATAATATATAACTTTTAACACTTTTAAGAAATAAGACCAATACTTTTAAAATCTGATAAATTACCAGAACCTTTTTTGTTCTGTTCCTTTTCACGAAGGCTCTTGAGAAAAACCAACAGTGGCTGCTGTATGACCAGCAACGTGAAGCGTATGTCAGGGGACTGCTTGGAAGGATCTTTGAGCTGGAACAGAAATCAGAAATAGTTAGCCAAGGAGAATATAAAGAATTCAGTTCAGAAGGTATCGACTTTATTTTTTTCCCCACAAGTGACCCAAACCATAATTATCTATAGAATAAGTTTTCTGAAAAGAAATTATAGCACAACTAAACAAAATCAAGGCTTTCTTCTCAACATTTTGGCTTCTTAATGGCAGAATTTCATTAAGTAAAATGTCTTTGCTTCCTGTTATCTAGCTATGTTACTCATCAACAGCATTTCATGTTCTTATCTACTTCAAAGATGGTTTTTAACAGTCTTGACACTCTATTAGCAGCCTCTCTGTTTGTGGAAAGTGGCAAGGCAAATACATGTGTCTCCCATCCTTCAAAGTACACTTTCAACCTACATAATGGAAGCATTAGAGATTTATTAGCTAGGTGTGGATCGGGTTTTTTAAATTTACTTTTTTTCAAAATAAATATTATAAAAATGACTCAAGACTGCCACATTCTTTACTCAACCTGAACAGTTGTTACAGGGCATGAAAACCTGTGATATGTTTTGGCACCTATTCAAAACAGTGTTTCACAATATGGATCTGGCCACCTCTAGCTCACTTACGTGCTATGCAGTTGCTCAACAATGAGCACCCTCTCCATAGCCCGCATTCAGATTGACTTGAGTTGTGCTTGACCAGCATGTGAAATAAAATTAAAATCACACTGAACAGAAGAACCAAAAGAAATTGGCTTGCTTTTCTTATTATCAAATTATTAATTTTGTATATGTTGCAACTGATCTGTGAGGTAAATTCATTAAATGGAACTAGTATGATCTGGAATAAGAGTATGCCCACAGATACTTGCCACTTAGTAATTCATGTGCAGTGCCTTGGTTTCTGTATTACTGTTTGAATCTTTATGGAAAACTTAAACATCATCATAGTTTTGGTGCTGTTTAGAAATCTATGAACAGTAATTTAGGGAGAGGCAGACTGAAGTAGATCACCAGGAAATGTAACTCAGTTACTGCAGTCAAAGTCTTGTCATCAGAGCAGCTGGGAGATTAGGAATAAGGGTATAAGAAAGTTCCTCTCTTCAAGCAGCTAGGCAGTAGCAGAAATTCATGTTTCTAAGAACCTAGCTATACAAGTTGAAAGTAGATAAGACAACTCTTTCCAAGGAAAAATTTGGTGTATCTCTGAGGATCTCACCACCTGAACTCTCAACAATGGAGTACTGTTAACAAGAAGGTAAGGCTTAGCTCATAGTTGAGGGGAGGGAGAACAGCTAAGCAAAAAACTCTCACTAGTAAACTATACTTTGAAGAATGAGGGGAAGGCTTCAATAGGAAAAGTATCAAAGTCAAGAAATTTACAGTGCCAAAAATCAGCAAAGCCTGTGAAATTCTGCATTCCTTGTTCTGCTTCTAGGTGTATTTTTCATGACTACTAAATTTCCACAGACTGTCTCTCTTTCTTCGTACTTTCTAAACTTCCTGGGGCAACAAGCAGAAATTTTTCAAACTCTGGTTTAAGTAACAGTCACTAGCCAAGAAGCAGGCATTTGTTATCAAAAAACCTATCCTAGTCCCTTCTATTTGCAATTTAGAAGTAAATGATAGCATACATTTTGAAGAAGATGGTCTGCAAAATGCAATGGATGATACAACTTTGGTCAACAATGCTGAAGTAGAGCCCATCAGATCCCCAGGGTATCTCTAGGGAGGGAGTAATGCCAGAACCTTGACTAAGGAGCCTAAATCTGGAAGTGAGAATCTAGTGTCTTTGGGCCTTGATTTCCAGGTGTCAGTATAATATATGAGGTCACTTAAGAACTATGTGTGGGTCACAGGGCTTGTGTAGCCAGGACAAAGAATGTAATATTGCTGTAAGGGTTAGTGATGGAAGCAGCTGTAGCATTATATATCTATTATATGCAAGCCAAGTTGCAGTTTTCCAGTAACTATATTGGGAAGGAGACTTTACTGCATTAGAAGTATTGAAAGCTGTTTTAACTAAAGTTTGGTGCTAATCTGAGCTGCGTAATAGCCTAGAAAGTCAGTGTCTGTCAATATGCCTTAAAATGCTGTCAAGGATTTGGTGCTATGATCAAGTAATCTTTTTTTTTTTTTTTTTTTTTTTTTCCTCCCCACATTACTGTCTCAATTATTTCTGTCTCATTAAGGTCATCTACAAGATGAAAAGCAAAAATATTATGACCAGCTGTTACGATCTGCTAAGAGTGATCTTGAGACTGAAAGATGCACTGTAACCCAGCTGAGATCTGAACTTAATGAATTCAAAAGGAAGTATGAAGAAGCACAAGAAATAACAAGATTAAATGCCTTATTGCAGTCACAACAGGTTGCTGAAGTGAAGACTCTAGAAAATGAAAACAAAATTAAAGAAGAGAAAGTGCAGAGACTAAAACAAGAAAACGAAACTATTAAAGGACAGCTCAGAGAAGAAAAGAAAAAGTCTGCAGATCTTTTATGTCAGGTATGTGGATGCATTTGGAGCTTTAAGATCATTGCCAAAGAATCAAGAGAGCTGAGAAGTCATGCTTAATCAGAATGGACCATCACTCACTTGCTCTGGTAACTTCCATAAATACATTGAGACTCATGGCCTTGTGGTTAAAACTGAATTCTTTCTTTAATATATTGGCTTGAATCAAAACCCAAATTTTTGTGAAATTTCCTTGTTTAAACAAGGAAGTTGTTGTTTACTTATTTCCCTGGTCTTGTGGGACACAAGAGGGAGAAGTGAGAGAATACCTAGTTGATTCTCATCCTGGAGATAGTAAACGAGACCAGGAAAGGTAAAAATTCAAGTCCATACAAGCTATTTTATTATGTGGTCCTAACTGTGGAATATCACTGATATTTGCTGTCACCTGGCTGCCACAAACATGTGGGCTTGTAGTTTCAAACTTACTGGATAAGTAGCCTGTGGAAGTGTCCCTGGATAGTGCCCCCAGCCAGCTACTGTGGCCATGCAGCTGGGGTTTGTTTGTTTTTCCATTCAGATAAGTTGCTGCATTTGGTTCTCTGTGTGATGCCATGGGTAAGAACTATGCAGGCAGACCTGAGTACTAGAAAGCAACAGTCAGATAAGCAAGAGAAGGGATGGACATCAGGTTGTCACTGTCTTGAAGATGGCTATGGTAGAAACCACTGAGGAGTTCTGTAATTCCCTATGAAACCTAAAAAGTCCCTGTCAGGCAGGCTGTTCAATATGCATGGTTTGTGCTGTTGCCAGATATGTTCTGTTGCTTTTGCATCAGATTCTAATTGTTTGCAGGTCTTGCCCATCTTCCAGAGTTACCTTCATCACTTCAGTGAAATAATGCTGTTCATATGTGTTGTTCTTAATTCTTCCTTCTTTTTTTTGAGCCCAGTGACTTGAACTCCACTCTGGCTGATCAGAGACAAGAAGACATCTATGTGCTATATGTTTGTATCTAAAAATATTCAGTGCTTACCTCCTTTTGTTCGGAATACTCATGAGGACTTTGCCACTTCCCCTACATGGAGAATTACAGTCGTGTCTTGGAATATTCCTATCAGCATGGTGATGCTAACACAAAAAAAAAAAAAAAAAAAAAAAAAAAAAAAAAAAAAAAAAAAAAAAAAACAAAACCAACAAAAAACTGTTGTTTCTTCTGGATGTGAAATCATGACCACGTATCTGCTGAAGAGAAACTAGAAAGTCCTTGAAGGACTGTCCTCAGGATATCCAAATAAGATAGACTTACTTCAAGTTTGAGTTCAAAGCCAAAGCAATGTAGAACTGAAATCTGAAATATGAGAATAAAACTTACTATGAATGAAAGTAGGCTAAAACCAGAATAACAGTTTAGGTAAATACAGGCTGTTTCTCACTGGTTAATAATAATAATTAAAAAGTGAACAACAGCATTCACTATAAAAATTGATACATGCTGATAATGGAGGATATTTTTATGTATGCATTTACTTAATCCATTATAGTATAGTACTTTGAGTCTTAAACAAAAAAAAAAAAGTTGCATTGCTTGTTTGGTTTTTTTTTAACATGGCCTGTTAGTGCAAACATAGGTGCTGTGTATCTTTGCATCCTAGCAAATCACCTAAGAAAGTTGTGGGTTTTTGATGTGGTTTTTTTTATTTAAACTGTAACATCATACTGCATTTCCCCTGCTCATGCAATAATGTTTCCCCGGGGCTTCCCCCAGGGAAGTAGAGATACTTGAATTGGGTTTGGTGTTGCATAATACACATACATTTTCTGTTGGCATTGGAATATAAAAGTTTACTTCCATCCCTTTTTAGATTCATTATTTATTAAGCTTATTAACTGTTGTATAGGGAAGTTATTTGTTACAAATGTTTCTTCTGCCTTGTAGGTGCAACTTTTCCATAAATCATTGCTCAAGCAGCAGGAGGAACACACTAGGATAGCTTTGTTGGAACAACAGGTACCAAATTATATGCTAAGATGCTGATACTTATCTGTATTATGCATAAAGGCTTTCTAGACTAACTTCAAATTTACGAATGTACTCATAATATTAATACTCAGTATATTAAAGTAATATTAGACATGAATATTCAACTGTGAATAATCTCAATGCCCTTAAAAATTTTAACATGCCTGCCAAGAGGGAAGTCTGTAACCTTTTACAGTTAAGAGGGTATGATTGTTTCTGATGCTGTTTTCTCCACAATCACTTGTTCAACTGAACATCCTTAGATTGGGTATGGGAAACATCCTAAAACCAATCAGTTCTTTGAAGTTTTATAATATACTCTTGATAAAGTTACACAAATAATTGCACTGCCATCTTTTCCAAGTACATTCTTACAGGTCTAATTTATGTTATTACTATTGATTTATTTGTTAAGCTTGGGCATGCAGTGTTACCCACAGTTTCTGTCCAAAATATCTTGCTACAAGAAAGAACCTGGAGTACAAACTGGCATTTTAGTCAGAACTCATAGTATATGCTTTTCTATGAAATGTTTAGTTTAAGATTGCAAGACAGCTTGAAATACCCTCCAACCAAATTAGCTTCAAACTCTACTAATGAAAAGATTTTCATAATTGGGCATGTATAAATTTCACTGTAGTAAAAGCAACAGGTGATTTTTTTTTTAATTTTATTTTTTAAATTCCATTTTAGGATATGATTGCAGAATAAAATTTACATTAAATATATGAAGGGGAAACACTTCTCTCTTCCCCCCCTTAACAATGCTGACTTTAATTCTTCAATTTTCACTTTGGGGGATTGCCAGATCCAGATATGCACCACAGACTTTGAGAATGAAAAGCTTGATCGCCAGAACTTGCAACATCAGCTAAATAAAGTTCTTAAGGAACTGCGCAAGGCCAGGGAGCAAATAACCCATCTGGAACCTCTGGTATGTACCCAATAACTTGCAGGTGAATTTAGTCAGGGATTTTGCATAAAAGTACATTTTTCACTTTGGGATCTTATTTCAAGTTAGTGAATCTTTTGCTAATGTCATCAGATATTCAGTGTAAGTCCTTATGTCCTTTAGGTATGTGGCCCCAAAGGTGCAGAAACCTACATTAGCTAGGTGTCATTTTTTCTCTACAGCGTGCACAGAACTAGTACTGCAGAAGGAGATCCAGAATAGTCAGGTTCCTGAGCAGGGAACATAACTGTATTTTGTATCACAATGTGTTACCCAGTTTTGTCCATTGCACAATGACAAAGCTGCACTGCTTCTCTACTTGGACTTGCTGCTAGTGAACAAGACACAATCTTTAAATATAGAAGTTGAATTTCTCCCCCACCTCCATCTGATACAGGATGGATGGGTCATAAAACCTGTGTCTTTCACTTCCAAAAAGTCAGCGCTCTACTACAATGAAAAAGGACATTTGTTGTATTGTGAGGACTGTGGTCTGTTTGCTTCTTACTATAAAAACCCAGAGAAAGCCACCTAGATTTGAGCCCTAGACTTAATGGAGAAATCTGTAGGGAAAGATTAAACAAGCCATTGATCTGTTTTGCTGTGTTGTATCCAGGATTGCCCTGGTCTTGAGCAGAAATGCATTTTGACTGTTGGTGCTTCAGGAACTCCTAGAAGGTATCTTGTAAGATTAGGTGACAGCTGAATAGGATTGTCAAAACTGCAGTTCTGGACTTAAATGAGGTTCAAAAGGGAAATCGGACATTCCTGTCCTTCATTAGATCAGGTCTGGGGCTGCTGTGACTTTAACAGAAGATAAATGCAAAAGCTCCTAACAAGTTGCAGATGAGAGAAATTCTTCTGTGACTGCCAGACTGCTCTTCCTCTCAGTTGTGTGCAACTTGGAAGTATTTTCTCAAATGAAGAAAGGAATGGAATGAATCCTGAGATTGTAATGTTCTTGAGTCGTGTTTTGCCCCTGGGAGAGCCTCACTTGCTAAGGATTGTAGTTGCTGCTGCTGCCAGGGGAGGCCACTGAAAAACCTCTGCAGGGAGCAGAGCAGAAGTTCAGGCAGAGCAGGGAAGTTATGGCTTTGTTTCTCTGTGATAAACAGCTGGAGGAGTAGCTGTCAAATGGACATTTGGGTACCTTTTACAGTTAGGGACAGCCTTCATGCATGGGAACAGGAGAAGAGAGAATTGCAGCAGAGTTTTGTGCAAGGTAACCAGGCAGCATCCTATATAGAAGGGACTGAGGCATCATTTTTGTTAAGGAAAGACAGTGTGTGAGAGTGGCTAGGAAGATGGCTGGGGAAGGATTCCCAGTTAGACACTGTGGGAAACCTGTCTTAAATAGCCTGCAGAAAAACTACCTGCAATCTAATTTAAATGTGATGTTAGAATTGTACAACAGACCCTCTGTTATTAATGCAAGTAGCATAACTGTGTTTAGCCATCTTTAAAATTCTACCCTTAGTGCCATAACACACACAAGGCTTGTGGGTCATTAAACCTTAATATTTTTTCCTCCGGTATTTGATCAGTTCATGTATGCCCCAATCTAACACTTAAAGCTTCTCCTTTTCCAGAAACTCCAGGAATCTGGGCGTATGAAACCACAAGAAGATTTACAAGCTGTATTTGAAGAGAAGCTGACTGTGTATGACAGAAGTCCTTCCCCCAAATATTCAAGCCTTCTTGATGAAAGTTTTCTTGAGTGTCCCAGATGTAAAGTGCTGTATCCAGCAAGCCAGCACAGAGAATTGCTAGCACATATTGACTTTTGTACAGCTTGAGCTTCAAATGGACTTACTATATTTGCTTTATACACACTGTCAATATGGTCTTCTACAACAGTAAAGGATCTTTTTAAGGCCTTTCCTTAAGGTTGTATAAAAGGCTACTAGTTTCATTATTCAGTTCCACAAAAACTTTATAGTAACTTATTTGGCCTCAAATATTTTATCTGTTGTTTTTGCAAAAAAAAGCTACTGCATTTTTGGTTGCAAATAAAAATATTTTTAGAAATAGGAATATTGTCAAATAGTAAACTATTGACTTTTTTTTTGCACTATAAAAAATGAGAACAGTAAAAGCACACCTATTGTGTCAGACTCTATTTTGATGTTTGGCATGTCCAGTTCTTGGTGAATCCTGATGATTGTGCTTGTACCATAACTAACAGTAATAGCTGCAAAAGATTTTTGGCCCTTGTAGGTGCGCTATATATATATATTTATATATATGTGGACTATGTGTGTATGTATAGTGTATACATACATGTATATATCACATATGTGATGTATCACCATCTGTTGAGGCTTGAACTCAGCCCGCAGCCCCTTGCCATGTGGCCAGCTGTTTGCCTCCCCCCTCCCTGGTGAAATAGGGGAGGGACAAAAAGAAAAAACTTTGTAGGTTGAATAAAAAGAAATACATTTACTAAATATAACAAGGAAACATCAGTAACAAGAGCGAGTCCAAAAAAATGGGTAAAATGTAACAGTGGCTTACTGAGCACAGTAACTGCCCCCAGCCCTGCTCCACAGCAGCATGCTGATGGCACCAGTTTGTGGGCCAGAGAGCGCCCTGTCTGCCTATATACACTCCAATGATTGATTGGGATTGGGACATCTAGCTGTGCTCCCTATCAACCCAAGGAAAGTTAACTCTATCCTGGCTAAAACCAGGACACCATCTTGATACACTAAAACTCAGGAGGGTCATGTTAGATCTTTGGTGCTTAAGAGTCATGTTGAAAACATCAATCACAGGTAGCTTATCTTCCTGCACCACAGTCAGAGGTGACTTATAGCTCATATAAAAATGCAGACCAAGGTTTAAGCTCTTCTCACAAAACATGTCATTGGGAAAACAAACTTCCTAGCGAATAGAAACTACTTTGGTACTGAGAAAAGTTTGTATTTCAGACAATGTCACAGACCAGTTTTGAAGTCTGGATATAGAATTATGCTCAAGTTGTTTGTGCTCCTGTATTTTAGAGGATAAAGTTGGTAGATGTCAGTTATTCAATCTGTTACATTTGACAAATGTCCCAGTTTAAAAGTGCAGTTTTTAATAAATTGCTCTAGTGCATCTGAAGTGTCACTGTATTTTGGTATTAATATGGAAACAAGTTTGCAATAAATGCTTGCAACAAGTTAGAAACTAGCAAAAAAACTGCCTTATGGATTTGTAATCACGGTGTTATTTTCCCTAATGAAGTGAGGAAATTTTACAAAGATATGCAAGTTAAGATAAATTTGCTTCTTTTACTAATTTATGATTTGCTGAGGACAGTGAAATACGTAAGGTCTATCCTTTCTCTGGTATACTGATTCTGACTGCTAGCTAATATCAGGTTTTTTCCATCATGCTTTGCTGCAAAACTGCACACATTTATGCCATGATGTTCACCCTAATTTCTGATGGTTAAACCTTACTAAATATGAGGGTGTGTTCCAACTTGTTTTCAGTAACTATTATATCAAGTGATGCTGTTGGTGATTAAACCCAGTGTTCATGAGACAGAAAGAAAATGTTCAGTGTTATTGTATGGGACTGTGTCAGCCATTTTGTCTCAACATTGCTGTTACACCATTACCCCACCTCCAAGCCACAGAGTGGTGTAAGATGGTAGCTCTCTGTTTCAGCCCCACGCTACTTCATAGGCTGGGCCTCAACCTCCCGTTGTCAGGAGGGCAAGATCTGCCCGTAGCTAGAAAAGCTGCACGTATGTGCTGGGCCAGGGGATGATGGGATAGCTATGATAGATAGCTATGTTTTTTATTGCAGCCTAGTAATTTTAATCTCTAATTAAACTACTTCTGGAAGTTTTAGTTGTCTTTTAACAACACATTAATCAGCTAGTATTATATTCCCAGTTGCACACTTGGCATAGTTTCTGCAGAAGGAAGTTCTGATCTTTTATGTATTATAGATGAAATAAGTTTGCCTGCTGTAGGTCAGCACTCTTCAGTAATTCTAAGGCTTTCTTAAATTAACATAAAACATTTTCATTAGAAGCTGGTACTGTAGAGGGAGACTCAAAGTTGATAATGTGATAATCTTTAAAAAGTTTTGTTCATTTCAGCACCTCTTTTGAACTTTAATTGCATTTAGTCCTTCCTGCTAAATAGTAGACTTAAGCCCAAAAAAACCTTACTGATAAATTTATACGCATAATCAGTGTGGTATGTATTGAAAAATACCACAGTGACCTTCTAGTGCACAAATGACTTATTCTGAAGTCAGAACCACAAACATTGTCTTCACTTAGTAGTGACTAAAACCAGCTATAAAACTTCAACTCAAAGCATGCAAATCATAACACTGCTTTTCTTTTACTCTTCAGAAGCTAAGAAGGAGTCTAAGACTGAAAATTATTTTTTATCCTGAAAGTAAATGAAGAAAAAGGTCTGTTGTACCTCTCTCTAGCTATACTTAGGAAAGAAAAGTTTGTGCCTAATGAGCTGATCTTAACGCTAAGGTTTAGCTGTAAGTTCTCTATAAGGCAGGAAGTAATTTTAAAAATCTTGTCATTTCAAGCACTTTGTGTTTACAATTTCAGTAGTCTGAGTTATGTCCATTTCAAGTAACTGAATTTCAACCTAGCAGAAATTCTGTGAAGCCTGCATCATTTGACGATGTTGGTCAAGGGAAGCTTCTGGATTAATACAAGGGTTCAGTAATACTAGCATATTTATAAATCCCGGCTTTCTCATACAATGTTCTTTGTAAACAGCAACTGAATTAAGTGGGTTTGATGCAATGTAGTGCGGTAAGAAAGACAGCTAAACTCTGCAAAACTGACTTTTTTCACACAAGGAGAGCCGTTTGTGAAATAATAACAATTGAAAGATGGCTCTTATTTTTCTTATATTAAATGGATCAACGCCTAATCATTCACTTGCTTGTGCAGCTTGCTTATTCTTGGTTTTCAGAACCATCTTTCACTTGGTTATTTGCCATGTGCCAATAAATACCACAAATGTTTAGGCAAACTGTACAATAAAACACTTATGTTTAACTACGCAGATAAAAAGTGGCAGGGAGGTGTAGTACCAGTTACACTGTAAAAGAATCACGCTGAACAACACAAATATTTAGAGACAACAGGACATCACTGTTCACCTGGCAAAGAATGCTAATGTAAGCAGTGCACTGTCTTCAAGAAAACTAAGAGGAATATGGCTCTTGTGGTATTTCCACAACAAAGCGGAGTTAGGTGGGAGCTTACAAGCAATGAAAATGTAGCAGCAGAGGAGCCCTAGGCATTTCCATTTTAATCTAGCAATCAACCTGTCTATTAAGTTTCCATATTTTGTAATGTGATTGAACTGTTAAGATTACAGTAACAGTTGTGGCAATGGTTTTACCTTAAAAATGATACGCAATTATATCATACAAGAAAGATGTAGTATATATAGTAATACAAGCTACATTACATATGGCTAAACTATACAACTCAGAATGCTACTTGCAGCATTTCTAAATATTTTCCTTTCTCTAATTTGGAAAATGTGACAGAATTAGGTAGCCAAGTAGTACTCCCTGCCATAAGGGATGACCCTGCTGAAAGTCTCTGGATGTTAAAAATATGGCCATATTTTCAGTATAAGGGTCTGTTTAGGGTATTTTCAAGGCAGCCCTCTGGAGCAAGGCAGTTGCATATCTCCCAGGGAAGGGCAGTGCAGGACCTCTGAAGTCACCTCCACAGCAAGGGACTGTGTTGGAGAATTCTGCAGTGTAGGTGGAATTTTAAAAGGTGGGGAAGGAAATAAAAATGTGGTGCCTAACAAGGAAGAAGAGAAGCCAGAGAGTTTCAGATCAAATTAACGTAACTTTAATTCTTGGAAAAAACTCACTGGCATAGAACCAGCAGTGTCACATGTCCCCAGTTTTCTTAACTGAGCAAGTGCTGTGGATAGGAAAAAACAAAAGATGTGCTAATGGGTACCTTTTGTTTCAAATGCCAGTTTTGTAACAATGTAGGGAAACAGAATTATTTCCTCTGGTCTGTACAATGGGTGGCACAACTGGCCAAAAAGCTGCACTACGTAATTATGTATCAATAATTTATATCCCTAAGAACATAAGTGCAGTGAAAAATGGATCTTTATTCTCACCCACATGGCCAGAACATATAGTGTTTCCGACAAGCAGCCTAAAGTGGATGCCTAGGATATAGCCTAAAGATAGGAGATGCATGTGTGAGACCTTCTTAAAAATCTCATTTTAAGATCCAGATGGCATTCCCTTGTGTTAGTATCTCTCAATGGACTTCTCTTCTAGCCTCTCCTTAAACCCATTTTAAAACATTAAATGATTAACTAAGGATAATGTATTAGACAATTCCATGATAGTCTGATTCCAAAACTATATTTTCATAGGTGATGCAGAGTACTAGAGTAAAAATAAAATCTGAGACACTCCAAGGTAGGAACTGAGAGCTCTTTTGAAGACAGCAGGAATTTTCAATTTATCAACACCAATGACCTGAAATCTATAGGATGAAGTATTACATACAGGAGTAATCATCTACCAAAACCCAAAATAAATAGTATGACAGTGTATCAGCTCCTTCAGAAAGTTTCTTGGGATTACAGTAAACAGAAGCTTGAATATGACTCAATATCCCAGCTGCATGATTTTGCAACAGTTTTACAACATGATGAATAAACAGACTCTTACATGTTTTACACATAAGCTTTAATTTCTAGTCAGTACAGATGAGATTTTTAGCTGGAATATTTTATCCAATTTTGAGTATTGTACTTCAAGAACAATTTAGACTAATGTGAACATAGTAGAAGTCTTTCAGATTTCTGATCCAATTCATTAAAGAATCAGGGTTATGCAGTCTAGAAAAGACCATGAAGAAAAATGAAAAAATTTCATATAGATGAAAGAAATAAAATCTTTCTATGCTCAGTAAGAAGTGTAACAAGCTCCGAATTGCAACAGGAGGAATTCTGACATAAGGAAAATCTTTCTGGTGGTTGGAATAGATGAGCCATGAAACAGATGACTTATGGAGGCTGCAAAATCTCCACCACTGGAGATTTACAGGGACACTTAGGTAATTGTCTAAACCATTCCTGACAGGTAAGTCTGCCTTGGGTCAGGGACATCAGCCAGATGATTTCTCAACAGTCCCTTGAAGCCCTATTTTTAATGACACGGACAGACCTGAAAACAACACATCATAAGATTTACATAAAAAACCCCATCAGATAATGGCTGTTTTGCACTGACTCTTCATGTTATTTCACTTCATGTAAAATTAGTAGCTACCACACCAAAAGTCAATATAACAGTTTAACTTCACCTTGTTTCACAACTTGAAAATTACTGGCATTCCTATGTCTGTATAAACTTCTAGTCTGAGCAAAGCCATTTAAAATCAGTATTTGCATTCATTCATTGCAACCCCACTGGAAAACAAGATAAACAACACAAGTGCAACTTGATGTCACTTAATTCCCTAGTGTCTAGAAGCAGAACAGCTGCAGTATGGTATGTAAAAGCAAAAATGAAAACAGAAAACTAACCTTGCTTTCAGCTTATGCTAAACCCCTTATTATATAGACATAGCTTGAGTCACCTACACACTTGGAACCTCTTTTGCAAAGACAAAGAGTCAACATTTCTAATGCAATTAATTTAAATCACTTAGCAAACATTAAAATACAATACATCTCTTACAGAAGTCAGTACTACTTACTTGTTGTACAGGTGCATGGACATAAACCCAAAGACTTAAACACCAATCTACATGCAAGATGATGCATAAGTAAGGCAAAAAACCTTTACTAGGTCATGTCCAAATGGAACAAGAATCCCCATCTCCCAGAATCACCTAGTCCAAGAGGTCCCTCTCTTAAGGGGACCTTTTATGCTCAAGAAATAAATAAAATAAATTATTTCCATCTTCCATGACAATTCATGGTTGTCAGGGGAACAATCTCAAAAACAAAGCTTGACTTACAGTATCAGGTAACACAAGCCCTTATCTGCCATAGAGGATGCAAAGACTCAGGCTTTCATTCAGGACAAAAAATAAAAAGAAAAAAAGGAAAAAGAAAACAAGAGTTTTTCCCTGCAAGGCTAGCTAAACAGCTCCACAGAGGTTCCTACAACTTTCATTTAACCTAGAACAATGAAATCTGAGTTGAGTCTATGTTTCACCACTTCTGAGCATAAAAGAGGACATATGTTGACAAAATGATACAGGTTGAGAAATCATAACAGGTTTCCAAGCATTCTGTTAATCACTTCCTCATCATAAGCACATGTGAAGCACATACTGCACACAGCATCCACCTATTAGAGTAATGCCAGAGCAGCATTATCAAGGTTATGATTCCTCCCTTCCTCAGATTTCATGTTGCAATGGTTGCTATGATTGTAGCTGCCCAACAGCAAATACAGCTTTTGTACTTCATGGGAGGGAAAAAATAACTCTTTTTTTTTTTTTTAGATAATGGATCCATTAGACCCATGAGTAACCAGACTGGTTTTGTTCCTGCAAGGAGCTCCCATTCATTTGATAAAACTCCGTGGAAATATGCATGTTTCTTCACACCTTTGCTGTCCCCAGGCACAGGATTTTGTACACAGGTAGGTGTGAAGCTCATGCTAATAGCACACTAAAAGCAGCACTTGCTTTCATTCTCCACATCAAACAAAGGGCTTATGCCGAGCAAGGTTCTCATCCACACCTAAAGACCAAAGCTAAAGATGATCCTTTCTAGAGAAGATTCAGGGTCTATCCAGATACTTCCACACATAGTCTCATTTTCAAACCTGCTCCTCTATGGCATTCCTTTCCTCCCTGACTGAAAATATCTTAATTACTTCAATAATGCTGCTTTGGATGTTTCTCTTCCTATTTTCCTTCCCCCATTCTGTTTCAAATGTGTTTACCCTGAATTGATAGGACCAGATTCTAATTCCATTTTCCACTAATGCCAAAGGGACTACATTTGCATTTATCTGTGCTACCATTTCCAGCTGCCCTCCACCCGTCCTGTTAACACTTTCCAAATTTTCACACAGGTAAAACCAGACTTCTAATGATGGCTCTTCCCCAAATCTCAGCCTCTATTCAGAGCTGACCACATCACCACTACTGCCAGCTGCCCAGAACTTCAGGACTAGTTTGTCAGCTTGTATAAAGTCCCAGACCTACGAGGTTGGGGCAACTGGAAGATATTTGCTATATTTTAAAATCTGCTAATCATTTTACAGAATCAGTCCATAGCAGATTTGTGGCTAGGTATGTCAAGCTTTGATCATATATATGAATAATCATCAAAGAAATCAGTAGAAAGTAGTAGGAGCATCTCATCCACCCGTTTAATCTGCCCTGCAAACTCCCCGTTTGATGAGACAGCACAGATAGAACCACTTACAGTTCAAGAGAAAACATGCTAATTAAAAACAATGTAAAATCTGCATTGGCAGAGATGTGGGAAGTGGTCCAGGAAAGATCTCACTCTTGTCAGTCCTCATTAGGAGATTGTCCCTTAGAAGGACCGAGTTTCTGGAATCCCCACTAATCTGGAATCCCCACTAAAGCCATTACGTAAGCAGTTGATGGCAGGGTCACACCCAGGGCACCATGGAAGCACCGCCCAGTCACCTGGTCCCACTGGCACACCAGTTTGAAATAACTCTCACCCAAGCAAAAGGTGCAGCTCCATATGGTCAAGCTTGTAACTGCACCCTTAAGCACCTACACTGGCACTGAGTCAAACAAATTAATCCAGAGCTGTCTAAAGTCATACAACTGTTTACATACTTTATGAAAACACTTTATCTTCTTTTATGAGACATTATCTGCTTGTCTGTGACAGTTTATGCACTTCACTCCCAGTCCATCTCTAAATCATCTGGAATGAAGAGCACAAGCGGAAAGGCCTACTTTAATTTGCTATTTGAGCAGCTTCTTTCAGGAATTGAAGTCCAGAGTAAAGATGGTATTTCCTAGGTATGTCTTAATTGGCCAGGCATCTTCAGCAAGAACTTTTAACACAGGAGGGTAAGACTCTGGATCAACTTAGTAAATGGATCCCAAAAATCAAGCCAGTGACACTTCCCCTCCACACCAGGCCATGGTTAGCACAAGCAATGCACAGGACTGCTGCTTTCAAATGCCACTGTCAAGACACAAGGTGATGGGTAAATTCCTCTTTTTTTACTTTAGAGCAGTGCTAGTTATCCCGGGCTCCTGAGAAGAGCTCTTGGAGCAGTCTGACAGCCATCACTCTGTTTAAAGCCATGCGCACACCCCCAGCGGAGGGGGCCAGCCTCCCCCGGTCACCGGTGCCCCAGGGGCCTGCCTGGAGAGCAGAGCTGACCAGGGCCAGGCCTGGAGGTGGTGGCCAGGCCCCGGCCCCTCAGCATGGAGGTGCCAGCACGCCGACCCATGCCCTCCCTGGGCAGGCGTCAGGCAGCCCCACTCGCCCCCAGCCCCTCATTGCCTCCCCATGCACAGCGGCTTCGCCTTTGTGTGAGCTGCACCGTGTTTACCCTCCCACTTCCTTGTTCCACTCTGGCGCAAGCCCGCCGCGTCCCGCTGGCCCGGCGGGCCCTCCGGTTCCGTACGGAACGCACTTCGGCCGGGATTTTCCTGCGCTCCCCGGTGCGGCTCGGAAATCCCCTTTTCAGCGCGCTTCCCCCTTACCGAGGGCTCAGCATCTGGGGAGAGCTGCCCAGCACCTGCGGCAGCCCCTGTACATAGCGCTGAGGCGGATATGGTGTGGCTGAGAACGGGCAGTGGTCGGTTGATGGTTGGACTGGGTGATCTTCAAGGTCTTTTCCAACCTAGATGATTCTGTGATTCTGTGTGAAATGTCCATGCACAGATTCTTCTGCCTAGAGTTTTGACATGCATACAAAGGTACACCCAACATGACACATGGTCTGTAAGTTGCATTTTTAAAGGTGCCATTAGCATTTGATATGAAATCTATGGCAATATTAAGACTGTGTACAACACATCTATTTGTAATTGTATGGACTTTTAAAACCATGAAGTAGTACATTAATTGATGCTCTGTTTGGGCAGAAAGTTTTCACCGACTCAGTTTAGTCTGCAGCCATTTTCTCCATAGGCATAGAGGGAGATATGACAACTTTATAGTAAAAATAACAGTACAATATTAATTTTCTTCTTTATTCTTTCTAAACAGGAGATTCAGATTTGCACCTTAGTTTGGCCCAGCATTGCAGGAGAAATAGTTTGGGATGTGACCTTTGCCATTGTTTTCTTTCTAATACCAGGATTAGTCATTGTCATCAGTTATTCCAAAATCTTACAGGTATGTTTTTCCTTTAAATTTTGTTATAGAACAAAAGGAAGTAAACAGTAACTCACTAGCCATCAACATATTGTCACTGAATACAAATACACCTAAAGGGAGTAGACATCATTTGCTCAGTAAATGGTAAGTATGTGATATAAAATGAGGCACTTCCACCTGTACATAATAGCCTATAAATTTCAAATAAGAACATGCTTGAACAGCACATTGCCAGAAACCCCACACAAAGTTTGTCTTCACTTATATTTAGTATTTAATACATTTCTCCATTTATGTGCTGTTCATATATAAAGACTGGCAATCTCCTAAGTGCTAAAATAGTCAAGCATTCAATATAACTAAACCCAAGATTTTGCTTTCCTTGAGCCTAAACTCCAGTGTCACAAGGGATTTGTAAACAAGTAAAGAGTCAGGACTATAAAAAATCTATCCCCTTTTAGATCTACTGATTTTCAGCATGTATTTTTAGTACACAGATCTTGTTAGATTACACATACTCCTCCACAGTTTCAAACTTTGCAAACAAAAATTGTAAATTAAACACTCTGCTTCCACTTTCCTTACGAGTGAGTGTTGTTTAACTGTTGAAGTGTAGGCCAAGACAGGAGGCACCACAGTTTTAATCTATATTCTAGCAAGCATGATATTAGTTACCTAAATTCCTTTTAAGGATCTGATTTCATAGCCCTTCCTCTTCCAAAAACAGAGAAAGAGCTAGAAATCTTCAAACAAGGTGCTGCAATGGCTAGTTTTTAGCAGCTGCCCCCCAAAGATTCTTGATTCCTGTATTAGGTAATTAAACTTCTCATACTATATATAAGGAAAAGGTTTTGGAAAGGAACCTCAGAATACACAGATTATTGAGCAGGGAATTAATTGATGAAATGCTTTGCACCAAGGGGCTGTGGGTACACGCACCAGAGCTGCATGTAGATGTTTTGATGGGCCTAGAATCTGGGGTCTACATGTACTTACCTACTGATCAGGCTTAAACTCATAGTCAAAATCATCAGCTCTTAGTTTCTGTACACACTATGAGCTCATTATAACCTTGAGGTAAATGCATTAGGTAAACCTCTTGAGTGAAGTAAAGCACTTGCCTTTTGCAACCTCATATTTGCTTTAGGCGAAGAGCATACAGTAACTCAGTGGGGAGTCTGAGCCCTTTGAAAGAACTGCAAAAAGCTGCAGGCCAAGGAATACCACAGTTCTTGGTCAGAAACCAGGAAAGGAATGGTGTTCCTCTTGTCCTTGAAGACTCCAGATTACAAGAAGTAAATCTAGAAAACAAATGGCTTGTAGGGAGCTAGAAGCCTAAAAAAAGTGTTTGGAATATTGGGTTACAAGACAGCCCCATGCTGTCATGCTCACGTTTCTTTTCTAACTTGGTAACACAGGTGCTAAGATGTGTTACCATTTCTCCTGAACCAAAAAAGGAACGAGGCCCGTAGCAGTATCCCATTTGTTATAATTTAATCTCGTCTCTCACACAGCTCTCCAGGAAGCAACTAGAACTCATCTGGAGAGTGTCTTAATCCCCAAGTCATTCCCAGGAGCAGATTCACTCTCACTTTGTGAGAACACTCCATGATGCCAGTGCACACAGAGTACAGGGCTCTCAGTGTTGTTGGAAGCAGTTCAAAGCATTAATGTATTCAAATGATGATGATTCACTACAGATATGACCTCAGATTTGTTAACAAATATACTCTACAGTGTATACTTTACAATGTCATATGAATCTGAGTATTACTTTTATGTACCTTGAACCCTGGCAAGAATGACAGATCAGAAGCCATGATATGTAATTAAGTAATTTGTTCTTGCACTGTTGCCTGTTGCAAGCAACACTGAGATAAGAGGCTAGAACTAGTAAAGATGTTTGGGAAGTTACATACTTGTATATACATGACTTCTAAATTCCTGATTCTCAGAGTGTGGTCCAGATGCCCTCAATAGGTATCTACATCCCTTATACCAAGCAGATCCAAAGTGTGTCACTGACACTCCATTTCAGTTGAGCATTTCCTTAAGATGCAGCTGCATCTTATTTACCGCAGTTCTGGTGATTCTTGCATCTTAGTTTTAGGCTGTGCAGCTCCAGTAGGAAAGATGGAAGGCACTTATATGGGACAGATACAAAGGTATCTGATGAGGACATTCTGTAGCCATTTTGAATTGTGGAGGCTGAGGAGACTACAGAATTTGGTTTTCCCACTTCTATATTGAAGTATTTTGTGAAACCTTCGTTCTTACTAAGACAGGTTAGGTGTTCTCTGAAAACAGCTCTTGGATCGGATTGTTTGGAGGATTTAGCCTAGTTTCTGTATTCCAAATGAGTACAGCAGAAGATCACCAGGCTGGAATAGTTTTACATGCTCAAAACCTCTGAATTCTCTGCCCCTTTTAAATCAGGGAAGCAGCTAGTGAGACTGTCCCCTTCTCAGGCTCAACAGCTGCTGAGAAGTCCATTTCTGGATAATGGGGTTTGATTTATACACCTACATTCTGTTGAAATCTTCAGTAGATGCCTAGGTTCTTAATGACTATTTATTCTAGGCCATCTATCTCTGTGACAGATTCAGAAGACTGCAGAAAGAATGACAAATTACTCTATCTATATCTAACCATTTTCATCCTTACCTGAACCAGGAACCTCTTAAGCATTACTAGTATTAGTGTTATCCTTCCTTTAGTTATTGGTAAAGGGAAACGTCACACATAAAAGTGGCAGAAAGCATCTTATGCCCTTTGACTTTCCTACTTAGATACCAAATTCATCCAGGCTATTGAAAATGCCCATTCTTCACCTATGCAGGTGGTAAAATGGCATTTCAATTATTTAGCATAAATGTTTATTTGCTAAATATTTCAATTTTATTTTGTTTGCATCAGATAAGTGAATGTAACAGACTTAATTGCGCTATGCCAACTTCAGTGAAGACACGGTTATTGAGCATGAGTTTTAGAGTTTTCTGCAAGCCACTGGGATTCAATATTCTACCTAATGACAGATGATTCATACCCATGAACACTAGATTCCCAAACTGCTCATAGTCTGGTTTATTACATCAGATAGTACTTTTACAAGACACAGATTTTCATAGTGACAAAAGGATCCGTAAGATTTCAGGTTAATTCATAGAAAGCAATTCTGATTACTGACTGAAAAAACTGAAAGTTTATCCAAAACTTACCGTAAAATCCCATTCACATTTAAAATATCGTGTTTTAGTTGCTGTAAGAAATTCATGCTTTTCTAATACCTACCTTATAATATCAGCATGGCCATAAGAGAATTGGATAGTGTTTCTTCTTGTGTATCAACAGGATTGTTAACTATGTTCCAGTTTGCATTTGTGAAAAAAATCAATGGGTTTATTTAAATAGAACAAATGAGGTCATAATTTGAAGTTAATGGGATTTCATGAGTAATTAAGTCTCTGTTTTATGCTGAAAAGTATTTATGACTGGTAGAAAGCCATGAGGAGAACAACCAGCCTGACTAACATTGAGGTGAGTTCACAGCTGAAAGGAAAAAAAGATTGCTAGTAATGTGAGAATATTTGAAATTTAACCATTGACAAAAATAAAAAGGAATTCTGTAATGCCTTTTTTGCAGTCACTTCTCAAAATAGAAAAATCATGTGCCAAGATTTACTTTTGCGCTTGTAAAAATCTGTCAATAATTCTTCTAGGTTTCAGTGAAAGTTACTTTATTCTCTCTTACTGCAGATTACAAAAGCATCAAGAAGGAGTTTAAATGCTGGTTTAGCCTACTCAGAAAATCATCAGATTCGTGTTTCCCAGCAAGACTACAAACTATTCCGAGCCCTCCTTGTGTTGATGATCTCTTTCTTCATCATGTGGAGCCCAATTATAATAATTATACTTCTAATTTTAGTCCAGAACTACAAACAAGATTTAAATATTTTGCCATCAGTCTTCTTCTGGATAGTGTTATTTACTTTTGCCAACTCTGCTGTCAATCCCATTTTGTATAATGTTGCCCATTTCAGACGTAAATGTCAGGAAATTCTTCTCTGTTGTACAGGGAACCCTGCAAGGCATGGGGCTGGTATAGAAACCACTGCAAGAAGAAGTAACCATGAACAACCAAATTTGTCTTTCATTACCAGATAATTATTTGAAGTCTGAGCTGTGCCACACTTTGGATTTTAATGTCTACACTGACCCAGGTTGAATAGGTCACTATGTTTTAGTATTATATGCCAGAGAAGAAAACAAAAAAGCTAAATCTGTTTTTAATTCCTGCAGGTAAAATTCCTGCGGCTTCACTGCTTTGCTTCAGAAAGATTTGGCCAGTTTAATCCAATAGATTGACTTCTCCATTTACACTGAAATGAACAGGAATATGGTAGTGAACTTGGTGAAGTTGAAATAAGTATTTACAATTAATTAATTTCTAAGAGGGTACATTTTCAGTTGGCATAAATGTCATTAATTTTAATGAAGTTATAGTGGATCTATATCAAGAGGGCACCTGATCCATTTTTACTCTTTATTTTCTACAGAGTAAGAGAGATCAACTTTCTAGTGAAAATGTACATCCTCAGAAAGTATCTGCTCTTTTTTTAATTCCATGTAAAAAAGGCATTTGATTATATGCGTAGATAACTACCTGCCTGAACATAGGTTTGAGCACACTAACCAATTTTGTGTAGGAAACAACATAATAAACATGTATTATCACCAAGTGAATGACCAACGGTTCCATCTCAGATTAAAAATATGAATATAATGCCTGTTAATTTATAAATAAAGAATAAACAAATAAATGTTTACTTGTCATGTATAAAATAGTTCTTTTAAAAAGATGCATATTTTTTTATGTCTTCAGTAGCCATATAATAAAATTATTCAGTGATATATCCCTTCTTCCTTTCTAAAATGCTACTAGGAATTATTTTCTAGAAAAAAATGTCATTGTATTTGAAAAGAAACTAAAATACATGTACTTTTGGGTTCTTTTAATTAAAAATTTTCTTCAGAAATTGAAACCATTAAAAAAAGAAAGAGTAAATTCTTAATTATCACCATCTGTCAGCAGTTCAAAACAGTGCATTAAGATAATGGTTTACTAATAAACCCAATGTCTACATATGTACAGATTTGCATAGAAGCAATTTTCATCCCCTGTAATCCAAGTTTATTAAAATGTTTCATTGGTTTACTAACAAGGTGAGCTGCACAGCTCAGATAAATACATTCAATCTAAATGAAGCCATTTAAGAGGAACACCCAATCAATGTGTAACTTTACATCCATGGTGGTGTTATTTCTCTCCATAGTTTTGGATCTCCTTAAGAGCAAAATCCTGAAACACACAAAAAACAAAATTTTGTTTTTCAGCTACACTACAGACTTTCACCAAATGCATACATATCTAATTTCTTTAAAGCTCTCTTGAGACCAGCAGTCTGTTACTTGTAATGATAATGCCAATACCTTGCTCTGCAGTTTATAATTCCAAAGAATTTTCAACTCAGATCAAAACAGGAATTCATTCAATCATTTACAACTGTCACACCTGTCCTGAGCATTTTAATACTTTGGCAAACAAGGCACTGGATAGATGAGTGATAAAAGAGTTATTTATTCACTTTAACAAGCTTCAAATTATTTGCCTTTTAAAAATTACTAATTTAAGAATGTCTTTCAACAAAACAAGAATCTCCTGTCCTCAAAAACTTCTAATGGTAATAGTAAATTAGCTGAAGGAATATACCACTCTAATTAAAAATTTTTGCCTCTAGCAAACAGCAGATTCAGCTTTCAGGTCTACCCACATGACATTGTATTGTATTTACAAATAGTCCCACTGTGATATCCACACTTACGTTGCACAATTTAAAGCAACTTGAGCTATTACTCTGAGACTAAGTGTATCATAGCTTGATCCATATTTGGAAAGGAGCTACCATCAGAAATGCAGTGTAAATTGCAACCAAAAAACTTGGACTTTCTTAGGCTTCCTTTTTGCCTTAAAGAGACAGTATACAAAGAACAGATACTTCACATATTTTTTTCCATAAAGGTAAGTTTTGTACATCTATTAGGTTTTTTTGGTAACTTGATTTGAATACAGTATTAATTAAAAAAGCTAATGAAAAACCTTTGGAGAAAAAAATTAGCTTCAAGACATAGGCAGAATTATAAACAGATACAAGCTTGTTCCTGCAGCATCTAGTAACATCAATCAGAATTTTACCACAATAACAATGGAATGCAGGTCAGGACAGACAATTGAAGTTGGGTGGTTTTGCTACTAATTCTGTAGCTCTTAATAGCAGAATTAAAACTTAGGAAGTAAGGTTTCCAATCCACACACACAGAATTAAGAGAATTTTGTTTCTGATATAAAGCTTTAAAAAAAAGGTTTTTTCAGTTTAGCTCACAATCATTATCTCATTCCCAAATGTACTTGCTTTGCAGGAACTTTGGCTTAATGATACTGGAGAATTCAGAATCAACTAACACTATGGTAACTACAGTATGGGGAAGATGCAAATTTCTGACTGGTTCATTTATACTTTGGTGCTGGTCTCATAAACTCTGGCATCATCCTCAATAAAAAGCAGACAGCATTAAGGACCCAAGCTACTATTTTTCATTTACAAACAATTTGGAACTCACAGTCTTACCAGCCACTTCACTCAACACTTAATATCTGAATATAAATTTGGATATAGAGTATACAGCACAGATATAAAGAACATAGCACTTGGGGCAACTTAGTAGATTTGATATTTCTATAACAAACTAGGGGCAGCTTGATCAATTTTTAAATTAAAATTAGGAAGTCAAAGAATATTTAGAGATGAATTTTCAAAAGGCATTCTGAACTTCTATTTTTTAAATTACACTCTTGGTTCTATATTCTGTGAAAAAACAAGCATTCTATTATATAGAAGTTCAGAGATACCTGAAAAAGTTCTATCACAAATTATGAATAAATGAGTATATTCAATTTTTCTTTTTGGTTTATATTTTGTGCAAAGCTTGACAATGCATCTATTGCCTTGCAAGCTTCATATAGTGTAGAAATAATAGAAACACAGATTCCATCATGCTGAATCAGATCAGTACTTGAACTAGCCCAATATCCTGATTTTACAGTGGGATAGTACTTTCTCTGGGCTTGACAGAAATGCAAGGAACCACCATTACACACCACAGCTGTGTATCTATGCTTTATCTTAAAATTTAATACAAAACCAGCCCTAATAATCTCATTATTTTGTTTTCTTGTCCTCAGATATTTTTATGCTTGCTGTACTTAATTTGAAGAGCAGTGAACGCAGCACTCAAAACAAGAAAGCATCATCAACTTATATAATGACATTGTTTCTTTTTTGTCCTACCCTTTATGCAAGCAAACACATCCTTCACAAAAGCCAATGTCATTTGCATTTATGATGTCTTTTAGTCTTGACTGCCTTAAAACCCAACTGTCTTTTGTGTTGTCTCCAAATTATCTTTCAAGACAAAATTTTTATTTTCATTGTTGTCAGGCACTTTTTCCAGGTCACTAATCAGTATTCTAAACACCACCCGCCTTAGCAGATTTTTCAGGCACCCTGTTATCAGCACACTTTACAACATGGCAATATATTACTCTCTGTTTATAGATCAGACGAACAGGCAATAGAGCTACAAGAGTTGACTGTGCTCATCTGTTCTGACTGTCTTTATAATATACAAAAGTTCCTTTAGTCAATCCCAGTTTATTCTACCATGTCATTTAGAAAAGCCTTTAATCTTGATTTACGGATTTCAGCGATGAAGAACATACAACAACTCTTGGTAAACTGTTCCAAAGGTTAACGACCTTTGGAGTTAAACAAATGGCTATTTATTTCTGCTCTGAATGTGTCCAGTTTAAAGTTCCATCCATTTTAATTTATTATTCTTATGTTTGCAAGTTCTTTGTTATCCAATTCCCAGTGCTTGTGTGGGCAAGCATAGACTTTGCTCAGGTCAGCCTTTAACCTCTTTCTGGTGAGAAAAGATCAAGGTTTTTGAAGCACTCACTAGAGGACACATTTTACAAATCTTACAACCATTTTCTCTGCTCTTCTTTGAAACTTCTAATTCATCCTTGGTACCCTTTCACATCACAATTATCATCAAATGTGACATAGCAAGCAGACCTATGCCGAGCACAACAGTCTCATAGGAGTCTTTAAATTAATCTTTTGTATCTTTGGTTTATGCATCCAAGAATCACATTATCTCTTTTGGTCACAGTATTACATTGGGTGTTCATATTCAGCTGATTCACCAGTTGTCTTCTGTAGGCATCATGTCTTCCAGAATGTGAGGGGCAGGGCAGGGGATGGGTACACTACATTTTATTTGTCCTAAACAGTCTGATCTGTCTTCTTAATTCTTTACTATTCCCCACTCTGGGTGTAATCTTTATCAGTAAGTATATTACATTTTCTTCTAGATCATTGATTAAAGTAGCACAAATTACCATTTGGCCTTTTCTAATATACTTGAGCACAAGTGAGCTAAACTCTATCCTTCCCCGTGATTGCAAGCTCAGCCTGACAGGGTCATACTTCCAGTATGAGGGATATGTTCCTCTACCATAACTCTTTGTGAAACAGCTGGCATGAGGACCTGTGAGAAAGGGTCTGCTATAAAGTATCCTTTCCAAGACTTCTGATTTTACTTAAAAGCTTTTTATGAAGAATTTTTCACAGAAGTTTTTGAGAATACATTCTATTCCCTTCAACCACTATTTTGTTGAGAAAGACAGAGTTCTGGTTAAAGAGACACAATTTCTTCTTATAGCAACTATGAAGTTTATCCTTACCGTGTTTACTCATACTACATTGACTTAATTGTTTTACAGCTTCCTCTAATTATTGTTTCACCTGATGTGATATGCCGCATAAAAGCTATACACCTTAGGTCTCCTTCAGATAAAGGAAGTAAAAGTTGGAAAGAACTTACTACAAGCTCCAGTTTTAAAAGGACGCTATTACAAGCACTAAGTAAAAGACCATGAATTTGCTGTTTAATGAACCAGAGACCCCCAGTGCTTTAGTCATTAAACACTGAAATAAAATTATTCAGAAAAAAATGTTCTTACCATTATGAATGATAACTCTGTATTTTCTGTCCAAACAGAGGTCTATCTGCCTTTGTCTGACAATCTTCTGTGCCTCGGGAGGCAATCCCTTGGGGTCCCGGGAGAACACAAAGGAATAGCTATCAGCACAAGTGCCATCTTCATTTAGTTGGCGGCAGGAATAATGAAGAGCATATGTATCATAATCTGTGTCCACTACCCAGTGATCATCATCTGGAAGAAACCATAGCAAAGAAACAAATATGTTAGAGACACAAGTAGAATCTAGTAAATCTGAAGAGATGGTTGCCATAACTCTGTAAAGAAAATAATACAAGGAAGATTGGTATAAATGATGACAGATTAGCTCTTTGTTTATTCTTGTGTTCAATGTTTAATTCCATGTTTTGGGGAAAGTTTGGGTTGTTTTGTTTTGTTTGTTTGTTTTTTTAAATAAAATAAGCATATTTACCAGGGACAGTGATGGAGAGAAGAGGAAATGGTGCCACTGCTTCTCCTCTAGTATGGATATAGAACAAGAGCAGCATAAAGAAGTGCAAATAAATGCCTTGTAAATCCATGCCTGAGCATCATTATAAAATGTGGCAACAAACACAAAAAAGAACTGTGGATTACAGTAGCTACCATGAAGTACAAATAAAGTTTTCCTGTTTCAACCAGAAAAGGGGAACGGTCAGGCAGAAAATAGGGTTTTTTTAAAAAAAACCCCAACTAATAGAGAAGCTAAAGGTGAGTCTGGTCATGCTAGTCATGCTCCAGATTACTCAAATCTGTAACTATTTTCCTACCGGGGCTGTTACTTAAACTGTATGTTTAAGGAAAAATACTATTATGTAGTTTCTGTGTGTGTTAGAAGTGTATTTGCTACAAGCTCCATCATAAACTCTCTTCTCAAAATGCAGTTACAATTTCAGAGAAATCTTAACTATTTAGCTAGGTAATCTGATAAATACCTGGTCACACAGACACCCTTTTCTAACAGAAGTGAATCTAGGTATTGCAGTATGAAGTGTCATCTCTGCACCCTCCTCTCTCGGAGCAAAAGCTTCTCCCTTGCACTGTGTCTGCGCTGGTGAAGGCAACACTGTATATTCTCTTCCCCATCTCTCCTATGGGTGGGCATTACAATTTTTAGAAAGGTAGAGTCCGGGGTCAGCCAGCAATCAGAAGTATCCGTGAAAACACGATTCAGCAGCATGCTGTGAGGAGATTTGTCAACAATTCAAGAACAATTGGTATCCAAAGCATTCTTTGTAACTGAGTCTTTGGAGAGAATGAAGCTCCAATCACTTCCAAATTCCACCTGCTTCTCTTGGATACAATCCATGGAAATGTCTTGAGCTACAAGTGTCTGCATCTCTACTTGGCTCAGTAAACTAATTTTGTGTAGGGTGTGACAGATGACAGAAAAATATGAATATATATATATATATATATATATATATACACACTGGATCATATTTGTTTCTTAAAATAGATAAATGTCCACATTTGCAGACATGAGACCAAACAAAATAACAGTTGCAAAATCCTCTTTCCCTGCTTGGTTAAGTCTGTTATTAGGCTTTTCAGAGAGAACAGAAGCATCTGGTAACTGAACTAAAACAAGATTTAAAATACTTCATCTGTCCTTCATTTCTTTCCAGACAATGACCATCAATTATATTGTTGGATAACAAACGAAATAAAGATAAGGTTTTCAGTTGTTTAAAGAAAGCCAACCAACTGTCCCATGTGAAAAATAGTGATTACATTGTTCACAGTTAGGCTTTGCTGTATGGTAGTTGTTATGTGTTTTAAGTGTGTTTAAGGAAATCCAACACTACTTTTTCCTTCCCCCACACGGACATACAACATAGCTAGGCTCTCAAGTAGTTCTGCATCGTCCATAGATCAGTACTTACTTCCTTTCTGCAGAAAAGAGGCAACACCCCAGTACTTCATCTTGAATTTGGCAGGATCCTGTGTGTCAGTGAAAGAGCCAATCATGTCAGCACAGACATCCCAGTTACTGTAGCCAGAGAGAAAGAAAAAAATCCCAGTCAAACCTAACAGCACAGATTCGTTGTGACCGTGTGACTAGCAGGTGGGGTTTGAGCACCAGTAAGTGAAGCAGAAGCTTAGTGAAATGGAACAAGAGGAAGATTGCAAACAGCTTACTTGAAGAGCCTGACTCTGCCCTTCGCAGTGGCACTCATTTGTCCATTCTCATCTACGGTGAACTGGGCTACCACATTGTCCTGCAGAAAGAGCCCCTCAGGATCTTTTTTTGCCATGGCATACCAGGTGCCACTGTACTGCAAGGAAGTAAGAAAGGCTGCAGTTAAACCTAGAAGTATGGAATACATTACAGACACACATCACAAACTAGGGGAGGTAAGAGAGGGGAGGACATGCAGGTCTTTAACACATGCTTCAAAGTTGTACCTAAGAAACAAATCTAGCTGTTCCAACAGCATAAACCTACCAATATGTCCTATAGTGCAGCCATAGTTTGTGACAGAATTGACATTTTTTTGTATCTTATTTGTATCTGCAGTTCTCTGGTATTTAGCATACAGATCTTGGTGGGAAGAGGATAACAACTGGCATCCTGACAGATCTATGTATAGACGTTTTTTCCTTACAATGTCTGAAAACACAGTATTCATTTTTCATAGAAATAACCAAGTCACTACACTCCTTTTGTTTAAACCATACACTTTGAGACCAGTCTGCTAAACCTCAGTTTCTGCAGCATTCCTTTATCAGATGCATCAGGATCCAGCATCTGTAGATGTGTGAGTAACATCACATGCCTCTGCTGTTTCTCAGTATTGCAGTCTGTGACTTTGAGTGAAAATGCGAACACGCTGGTGCTACTGAATGCCAGATTTTGTAGTGTAGGAAGAGGAGCTAGGCAAGACATCACAAATCAGGAGAGAAAGAATTACCCTGGTCTTGTCGAAGTTCTCCTTGACTTTGAAGCTGCTTACGCGGCAGTCCCGCTCCGCCATACTGCTGCCTAGCAAGGCCAGTGCCAGAAGCAGCAGCCAGGGCAGAGCTCTCTCTGTGTGGGCCATCCCGTCCCTGCAGCAACAGCAAACAGAGAATAGCATCAGAAACAGGCTCTGTCACACAAGCGAGGAAGGGAGGAAGGCTGCCCTGACAGGTCCCGAGGAGATTGCGCAGCTTTCCCTGATGCATGCACAGGCAAGGCACCTGGCTGTCCCCAGCCCACCACAGCAGAGTTCCTTACAGACAGTGCCAGTCCCTGTAGCCTCTTGAGAGCCCGAGTGTTGATGGCAGTGGCAGGGCACACAGACAGGGAATGCTTTATGTAGTCTGGGGCTTTCGCAACCCTCTGAGGTATAAAGCCAGCATTGGAGGGGGGTAGGGAGGTGGGCTGATGCATGCTGCAGGCTGAGGCCCCTTCATAACAGCCTCTTGCATAATACCCATGGGCTCAGGTGGTCATTGACCTCGACCTGCAGCCAAGCAGATGCTAGAATCAAATGCCTCTCTTTGGTTTCCCTAACCCAAAGGCAGAGCTCACACTTGGGGGAGCACAAGTGTGGGGAGAACAAAGGAAAAGAGAGACACCCCATCTTCACATGGGGAAGAGCGATCTGCCTCCACCTCCCCTGTGATTTTACACACTGCAGTCCAAAGTCCTTCTTACTCAATGTGCTCAAACCAGTTACAAGGTGCAGACTTGTTTCCTCCACCTCGTCCCCGGATTCCTTCCCTCTCTTCCCCTGATAAACAGTGGCAAACATCATACTTGCAAGTTTCTGCTAATGTTTCTGAAAGCCTGGTCATGCCAGAACTTCTTTAGGTCCTCATGACTGGTCCCCTCTTGCTTCCTGAGGGCTGACTCAGGTGCTAAACCATCTCCCAGGGACAGGAATGGGGCTCTGCACATCTGCAAAAGCGAAAGAGCAAAAGAGCACTATTGTGTCATACTGCAAGGGTGGCAGGACATATACGTGGCCGGCAAATACCCAAGTGCATGTACACACCACATCTGGCCTTTTTAACATCAATTTTAAACCAGAACTTCCCTAATTTCTATTCTGTTTTTGGCAAACTGTTTTCAGTTACATAAAACATTATTGTTTTCTCCTGTCCAGGCAAGTTTTGCTGCCTCTCAGTCAATATTTGTTCTATAGTTTCAACATCTTTAGGAAGCGCTAGAGAAAACCAGTTAATTATTTTCTAGACATGTAACCAGATCAGGATAGGACTGATTGTTACCAAAAGAACAAATTCACCCACTTTTTTCACCTTCCAATTTTGAAAGCATAAAGTCAGAAGCCTGTTAGTTGAAAGGTCTGTGTTCATTACTTCAATTAAGCAAAATTATAATTCAAATATGTAGATACTGATGTAGTATAAAAAATACTTCTATAGTTTCTGATGTACAGAATTAAAACAAGTTATTCAGTATGGCCTTTCCCAGAAATTTACTTCAGCCTTCTTACTCCTTTTACATATTCATCCAAATACTAAACTTTTTACCCTTTACAATCTTTTTCATATGTAATGCAAACAGCTGTACAGTCTGTTTGATTTATCTTCATTTTCTGCTTTGTGTTGGAGCCTTTTTGCATAGAGAGTATATTTTTGTTCACTTTCTCAAACATCAAATGCTCAGGGATGTTGTGAAGCCTTTGATTCGTTGGATAACATCAGATACTAAAAATTCCGTTATGTTTAATATTAACCTTCTATTTGGAGTAAAGAACATATTTAACACAGATAACCAGAAAGGCTGATGCATATTAATTGTTCTGAAACTTTCAACAGTAGACCTTCAATAAGCCAATATTTTAATTTTTCAACTGAGATTTTAGTTTGTTAATTCTCATGGAGACTGAAGAGAAACAGCAATCTATATCGCTCTGGTGGCTTTTAGAAACTTGTTCCAGTCTCTGGCAATGGTGATGCCAGTTATATTTAAATGCATTTTAACAAAACTTCTACAAAATTTTCACTAGTCTTGATATATGAATTAATCATATTTACAAGATCAAAATTAACATGGATTTTCTTTGTTCAGTGTCTCACATGACTGACAGAAGAGTGATTATGGTTTCATTTATAACTTTTAAATCTACAACTGTCTTTAATAGCAAAGAAAACAATTATTTCTTTATTGTCTGCCAATTCATGAAATATTATTATTTCTCCTAAGTTTTCCCTCTTCAAAAATCTGTATACTTCTTTATATTCCTAAAGAGGTTCTTTCAGAATCAGATCCATGCCAATAAAGTTTTGTCAGTAACATAATTATCAATGAAAATTCTATGGCAGAGGTTTTCAAAGGAGTCTACAGTCATTCAAATGAATCAAAACCTGATGAGATTTGACCACTTTGAAAATCTAGGTCAGTAGTGCCATTATACTTACTGTGTGTTGTCCCCAGCAGTTTTACAGACAGGAGACCAATCCAGGTTTCACCAAAACAAAAATTTACTTCTGTTAATAATTTTTAAGAAGTTTAGTTCTAAATATGTGCAAGAGCCACTGCAGTTTCTGATATAATCTGAGGTAATCAACGAAAATAAATCAGAAACATCTAATTTTATATTAGCCTTGGCACAGCATTTTTTTAATTGTGTGCCTCCACTGATCTCTGCAATGTTTGGCAACTCGTATGTGGTGGAGGTGCCTGGCAGAGACTTCTAATTCATACAGCTCCTCATGTCTGGGATCTCTACAGACTCTAGGCAATGCCAGGAAAACTCTTCTTTTGAACTGTTCTCATTGTGGATTTGTGGGAGCACAGCTACGGTGAAGTCACACCAGTATTTCCCAGTCAGATTTCAACAACTGCAGAAGAGGACCTGGACAAGTCAGTACGATTTGAAGATTACATTGTAAAAGTTTGGCTTTATGCCTCTTCAAGTTTAGCTATACTTCCAACTCTGCCTACCTGAGATGCAGTTTACATTAATGAAGTCCTTCCACAGTTACAGCTAAAGCATTTCTTTAATTCAGTGGGACAAACTTTTCAGGTAAAAAGGCTCTTCTGTTGTCAGTTATGTCTAAATCAGTAGTGTATTGGAGGAGGGATGGAAGGTGGCTGGCAGACTAGCATTGTTATGGCAATTCAAGGGTGAATTTTTTCTCAGTCCTAACAGATGTAGCTATGCCAGCACAACTATGTAAACTCATAAACAGTGTAAACTTTGCCTCAGTTAATCATCATTTGGATTGACTTGGGCTATGGGTTCAGTTGAGAAATTATGCCAGCAAGTGATCCTCATCCAAATCTTTGGAACCTGGATATACCTCTTGCAGATTTGTAGTTCTCATGCAAACAGTAAGGAACAGGATCTGGGACAGGATTTCAGTTGATTCTGAAAGCAGTATGCATAGATCAAGTCAATGGCATCAAGTGATTGCTGGGTTCTCAGAAAGCTCAGACAATTACATTTTAAAAAATTATTAAAATATTGATAACACATAAACATGCAAATAACCTCTAATGTAAGGCATACAGTTACAGAACTTGTACTAAGTTCAACACCAAGCTTGATAAATTTCACATATGACTTCCCATTTCATTGTTCAAAGCTGGCAGCATATTTTGAATACTATAGACTTTTTTTTTTAAAAGGCAGTATGTATTTTTTGGAACTGGATTTAACTGAAAGGGAAAAAAGTCTTCTACCTTTGAATTTTGCCAAAAGGCCAAAAAAGGGTCTAACTTCTGGCAGTGATTCTAAGATGGAAATATTTTTTACATTAATAGCCTGTAAAATTCCGCAATATTTTCCATTAGGAATAGCAAAATAAAATACAGAGAAAAGGTCAGATCTTCAAAGGAAATGGCAGAAAAAAGCTTTCATTGTAGGAGTTATTTTAGTTTCATTTATGACTTTATAACAAAAAGGAAGAAATGAGAGTCAAATTACTATTTAAAAAACATTTTTAACACTGCAGCACTGAAGCTTTAAGTATTAAGAGAACTAGAATTTTATTTGTGGTCACAAGAATAAGTCTAGCTCTTAGGAGAAAGCTGTCTCAAAGAACTGGTAATAGTAAATGGAGCATCCATTTGCATCCAGACTGTGCATAGATTGAAAGACTTTTTGCGGTCTTCTTATTTATTTATAGAATGCCATCCACAAACATGGGTATCCATTAAATTCCTAGAGGCAGATTTTTTGGGGGAATGAATGACTTCTGTGTGCACAGAGCAGTGGACTCAAGTGTAGCCACTGCCCTGTGGAACCAGACTCATATTAATAAGCAACAACAAACGGCATGAGCTGAGCCAAGGGCCTCTGTGTACTTTTTAAGGGACAACTACGTACACTGTCACCATCACAACTGTTCCCCTTGGTGGCAGTCTGAGTACAGAGGTCAAGGACAAAATGGAATTGAAAAGATTAGCCTTTGCACCATGCCAGCCTGTGTTCTACCTGTTTTTGTAATTCAGTGGTGTGACATTCTGGTTAAGAAGTGAATTTACATTGAAATCTTTATAAACAGTATTTAAACAAACCTAGTTTAAAATGGTACCTTTATTTTCTTCAGCAAACCTTTCTGAGGATTGTGATTCTGAATTGAAATGATTTTCTAGATGCATTACTAAAATGGAAATGAAACAAAGATGTAGTTTGCCAACAGGCTGACCAGGCTGGTGAGGAGAGCTTTAAACTATGAATGGTGAAAGACACGGACATACTGGAGTATAGCAAAGAGCCACAAACATCACTGATCAATAGAGAATCTGTCAAAGGAAAGGCTGAGAGAGCTGGGTCTGTGCAGCCTGAAAAGAAGGCTTGGGGAGAACTTACCATGTATATAAATATCTGGCAGGAGGGTATAAAGAAGAGTCAGACTCTTCTCAGCGGTGCTGAGTAATATTCTCAGTAATAAACAACAGTCAGGTAGTCTAAGATCACTGTGGAGTAAATATGAGAGTGGATAAGATTAAAAGGCTGCTGTCCTTTGCTCAGTCCATATACTAAAATTCATGCCAAGCTACCAAGAAATTTTCATGCTCATGGTCAAAGCTACTGTGCATCTGGCAACCCAGGTTAAGCCCTTCATGCTAGACTGGCCATTTACTTCAGGAAATCTCCTCTAGAATCTAAAATCTGTGTTGACTACTTATTTAATGAACTCTCAGAGCTAATAATTGGTAGTTTTAAGGGACCATGAAAATTTGCAACTGTATGGGAACAACAGCTAACTTAATATATCTTCAGTGTTTGTATTTTTAAGATTATTTTTGTAAGAAAAGGGACAGAAAATTATTTTAAAAGAAACATAAAAGTTGAGGTTGTTTATAAAGATCCCCAAAACATACCAGATCAGTGACACCAAAATATTTCAATGCCATAAACTGTGTTAGGGGCACACAGCACCTGTTGTAAATACCTACAGAATCCATTCTCACAACCTAACCATTTAGAAAAAATATTAAGTTCTTGGATTATACATATAAATCTCCAATGTCCAGACAGTGGTCACAAAATTAACCACATCAAAATCCATGCAACAGAAATAAACATATATGATCTATGTTTATTCAGAAAAATCTTAACTGAATGAACCATATTAACTGTATCAAGATGAACAGAGACACTCAAACACTGAGTTGAACTGGGAAACCTTATAAATACCTTTGACATTTACGTGCTGTTTGAGTCTATTTAAATAACTACGTCTGTCAGTTATCCTTCTTAGGAGCTTCCATGTATCACAAGGGCTCAGGAAGAGTCTACTACTAAAGAACTACTCCATAAATTGTTTGATTTCTATAGCAACTATAAATGTCAAAGGCAAATGACACCGTATGTATTAAAATCAAAAAGCATCCATATTTCTGATATTCTCTGAAATTAAAACAATTTAAAAAATATACCACCCTGCTCATCATGTTTTTAAATCAAACAGCCTCAGCATAGAAAAGAATCAAAGCCCAGTGCATGTTATATTTGCCTTTAAAAGTGCAGTGAAAACGACTGTGCAAGGTTAGTTTGCACTGTTAAACCTCCATGCATATAATGGATCCTACATTAAAATGTATTTTCTTAATAGATGATCTTACTAAAAAATTGCTAGGAAAGATGATAGCAAAATCGTGCTTGAATGTGCCAGTAATGTGAAATAATGTTTTGGTATAGTTTTTTACAATAAACTTAAATATAAATGTGAATTAGAATTACTGAAGATAAAATGTTTGATGTTGTTTGAAAATAAATAAAGGAGATAGAACAGAAAATAAATTTCTTCTTCTAGCACAGAAACTTTAAAGTTCATTACAATCGTGCTCCAAAATATTTAAATCATCTAATTTATGAAATTCATTAAAATATTGATATGAGAAAACAAAAAAAGTATCAAGACAAATACACTGTATTTTCCTAACTCTAAAATGAAGACTTCCATAAATGTAAGGTACATGTATGTACCAAACTACATTTTGATTTCTATGAAATCACTTCAGCTTCTTGGTTTGCCTTAATTATTCATGGTTAATCAATATGTACATAATGTTCACGATGAAGCATGACTAATACAGCAGTTGTTGAAAAAAAGCCAACATAACTGTTTCCAAACATAAATTTCCTATTGGTTTCTGATACTTCTTTCCATGTCATTTCACAAACACTTTACAGAGCAAGAGTAAAACTGTAAAACTGAATCTGAATTAAGAAAAAAAAAAAAGGTTTGATGATTCAAGAATGATTATGGGACAACCCAGCTACATCTGAAATATTTTGTTACAAAGAAAGATTTATCACCTTACAGTAGTGCCTAATTAAAATGTGATCTTTATTTGTTATCTCAAAGTACAAAGAGTGTAATTTATCATTTGTAAAGCAGCTGGGCACAAGGGAGATTTGGTGGAACCATGATAAGCATTTTCGTGATCTTGCATATCAAAAAAAAGTGGGCACACATGATAATAAAATTGTTAGCTTACCCTGGCCCCAAAGAAAACAGTGTAACTTGGTCAGGTTACCTATCTTCACTTACTCACCCTCAAGAGAGTGACAGGCTGCTCTACTTCATAGATTAGTGTAATCATGATATAAAGAACAACTAATGTTTGTAAAGCTAGTTTCTCACATGTGATAAAGATGAATGTGTAAATCTTATATAGAAGATAATTTTCTGGAATGTTTTAGCTGAGCATGAGACAGATCCTCTATAGATTCTTCCTCCTTCAAAGAAACTACTACGTAGATTATTCCAAAGTCAGTAAAAAAGTATGACCAAACAGGTAGTGCAAAAATGTTACTATTCCTTCATACAATTTCATTGGAGCTCTTCAACATCCTCTTTTTTTAAAGAGCAGCATGAAAAGCATTGAGCTAGAAATTAGCAAGATGACAGATGAAGAGAAATAATTTAACTCTATGTGTAAATACATATAAAATTCTTTTCAAGTCTCTATTGCTTTTATATGTATTGCTCAGATCATGAACTATTCGAAGACTGTATGTGCATTTCTTCTGCTGTTTTCTTGTGGACTGTACATGCATACAATGGTGAGAACATCTTGCTGCACTGCAGTTGCAGTCTGTCACAAAGTCAGTATCACCAGTTCACACCCATAAAGAAGATGCTATAACTTCACACACCCACCAGTGAGGGTCCTATGCTGTCCCCCAGGGCTGCTAGGAAAGGAGAAAAGGAACCAGGGCAGAATGTGTCCATACTGTGATGGTTTTCAGATGTATTTTAAAATATAGCAGCTGCAGTCTGGCAAAAATCAGTCTTACACAGGGTTTCACATCACAGTCAAAGGGAAAACTAACGTACTGAGTTAACTGCCATTACACACCAAGCACTGACCTGTTCTTTGTGCATGAGAAACTCCGTATCGGTTGCCCGCGTTGATTATTTTAGATCTGTTGATAAAAATGGATGTTGATAACTGTGCCCTCTGGTAGACAGCTAAAGTTGTACTTTTACAATTACTCTTTTCAAATTAAGAAATACCAAAGGGTATGTGGTCCATTTTTCTTCTACCAAGAATCTCTGCTTCTGATCAATGTGAATGTCACAAATAGAAGTAAGATTAATTGTATGGCAGCCCTCATACTGTGCTGAAATCCAGATCTATTTCAATGAACACAGATCATTTGCTGTGGTAGCTGGCACTCAACTTAGTCTTTTCGTTCACGTAGCCCTGGGGTGTTTGCTCCTAAAATTCAACACAATTTTCATCATTCCTTTTACATTCATGTGAGTAATGCTGAACTTCCAACAGTAGGAAACTTCAAACATGTTATAAAGCTACAACCAGACTCGAGATTCCCTCTTTGCCTGCTATGTCAGTTATTACCATTTTTCTATTATTTAAGAGAGCAGAGATCTCCCACTTTTTCTGAAGAAGGCGTAGAAGAAACTATACTACTTGCAGGACCCTGTCTGGTTATTTATGCCTAGAGAGTAAAATGTTACTGTCTCCTGAACTCAATTTGAATGCAAGCCATTTTCCAATTTTACTCTTTCCTTTAGGTCATCTATTTTTTTAAAAAAATAAATATATAAGTGATATGTGGCTGTGCTGAGTCAAATTCTAATTCTTTTACTCCATCTTCACCTGGGCAAATCACTTGAGCTAACTCAGACTTTTTTAAGGTCTTTAGCATTTCACCCATTTTATGCATGTATAGCTTAATAACTATTTACTTTCAGTAATGTAATTTCGATCATCTCCTGACTATTTCAAGGGAAACTATATTTTACAATTTAAAAATTTTCTCTGCAACATTCTATTTTCCTCCCCTTAAGTACCTCTTACAAATACATGTGTGTACATCTGTGCACGTGTATAATGTGGGCTAAGTATCTAAGTGGAATTCCTCATATTAAGTTTCAATTGAAACTTTTGTGTGTATACTCCAATATATATACTGTAAATGAAGGAGATAACATACAGGTATATGTATCTACATATCAGACAATTTTATAAGATCTAAGAATGAATTGGTTAGTTTAAAACAGTAAAAATATTCCCTTAGGATTTATGAGCTAAGAATGGTCAGGGGTTTAGTGTCCCGACATCTCTTTAATTAGCAGTCTCCAAGATCTCAGACTAAGAAGATGCTAAGCCAGTGCCTTCTGTCATACCTCAAGAGTTTCAGAAGGCTTGGAAGCCACAGAGGAAGGTGAATGTACTATGCCTGTGAGCTACACAGTATGGACAAAGTACTGTTTTCTTACTAGTATGAAGTTAGGACTTGTTGCTAATACTCCTGCTTTGATGGTGATGCAGTTCTAAAAGAAATCCTAAGAACAATACAGCAAAAATGGTTGAGCTAAATAAAGATGCCGTTGAAAAATACTTGGAGAACAACCCCCAGTTTGCCAAGGAGTATTTTGACCGAAAAATGAGAGCAGAAGTGGTGAGTAGCATCTTTAAAGTGAGCCCTGGCGATGTGAAGGAAGGAGTCAGCTTCAAAGACATGTCCCGTCTGGAGGAGTGTAACATACTTTTTGAGCTGCTAACAGAAATCCAGGATGAGGGAGGCACTATGGAAAAGATAGTGCACAAGGCCCTGCAGAGGCTGGCACAGCTGCTGGCAGCTGATCGGTGTAGTATGTTTGTTTGTCGTTCCCGAAACGGTATTCCAGAGGTAGCCACCAGGCTTCTCAATGTCACTCCAGTTTCCAGCTTTGAGGAGAATTTGGTGAAACCAGACGATGAGACTGTTTTCCCTCTAGACATCGGGATAGCTGGATGGGTTGCTCATACGAAGAAGTTTTTTAATATACCTGATGTGAAAAAGGTAAGTGACTTCTCTTGAGTTTTTGTGCACTTGCTTGCTCAGCTTCCTGCACAGGGCTTGTGGTACAGAGTCATTCTTCAAAAGCATCCCTGAGACAAAAATCCAGACCAAAAGCATGAGAAAGCAGCTGCAGTGTTTGCTTAAAATCCAG